CCCCCCCCCCCCCCCCCCCCCCCCCCCCCCAATCTCCGGAAAGAGAGATAATAAAAAAAAAAGAGGGCGCAAAAGAGAGATAGAAGAGAGGTGGCGGATGCGCCGGAGGGTGGAGGAATCTGCGATGTCATCTTTTTCTCCTTTTCTCCGTCTGATATAAACGGGGGGAGAGAAGAGAGAAAGAGAGAGAGAGAGAGAGAGAGAGTCCGAGTCCCTAATGGGAGAAACGTGGGGTCTATTGACCTCCGCTATCGCCAAATCCTCTTCACTCGTGACCATTTTTTTCTCTCTCGCCCTTTCCCGAAGGAAGAAAGGAAACAATGGACCCTCCAGACGTCCTTTGTCCTCCCTCCAGGAAATATTATCCACCCTCCCCCCCTCCCTCCCCCCTCCCGCCTCTAATAATCACCTGACACATACCCGCGGCACCGTACCAGTCCTAACTGTTCTTGATTCGGGGGTAGCCCGCACGTCGATATTTCACTCTGCTGGCAAGATGATTTTGTTTTCAGCGATGCGGGCGGGGGGGAGGGGAGGGGGGCAAGGGGGGCTGAGGGGGGGGGGGCCGTAATTGGCTCGTTTTATCTTGAGTTTTTTGTCGCTCGGCGAATGTGGACCTGCATTTTTTATTTTTTATATTTTTATTTTATTGCTAGGTTGTTTGATTGCCCTGTGGCGTGGTGCCTTTTCATTGAATTGTCTGCGTTCGCAGATGACATCCCTAAGGCTGGTCTTTTGAATTTTTTTTTTGGAACAGGAACTGAAGGAGGAGCTGGAGAAGGAGAAGGAGCAGAATAGGAAGCTGAAGCGAACCCTTCAGGCGCATATGAAGCAGAATGAGAAACTCAAAGGTGAGCTGAACTTAACATTTCCCTTCGGAATTTTTTTTTTTTTTTTTTGCTGAGACGCACCTTAATCCCCCCAGCACGCTTTATAAAATGGATGCGAACCGAATTCATTTTTCTCCTTTCCTAATTTTGCCATGCAGCGAGGATTGCCATCATGCAAGGTATACCGAACGCCCGCCGTTAACGCCGCGGAACGTCCTCCCGCGGACGTTTCCCGCGGATCGCAACCGCGCCGAGTCGTGAGCGTTTCTCTCTCGTTCCCCCAGGGACGGACGTGGAGAAGGTGGACCAGGACCTGAAGAGCACCGAGGTGGCCCAGATCAAGCACAAGGTGAACCAGGACTACATGGGCATCTTCGAGTTCAAGTCCGGGATGGAGGGGACGATCGCGAAGCACCTCATCGTCGGTCTGCGTCTCGCTCTTTCCCCGTTTAGAAGTTAACGAATCCGCGATCGATGTGGGTAATGGGTGATGAGAAGGGGCTGCCGGTAAACTTTTAGTCGAATTAGTTTTTCACTTTTTTTTTAAATATTTTTTCGCATCGTTTGGCTGTTGTATTCCGTGTGTTGACGCGAGTTTCGGTCTCGTTCCGTGCAGATCTGAAGCCGAAGGTGGCGCAGACTCTCCTGCCGGGTCTCCCCGCGTACATCCTGTTCATGTGCCTCCGCTACACGGATCACATCAACGACGAGAACCGCGTGAGTCCCCTCGAAACGTTGCGTTCGTTGGACGTGCCCGACGCCGTGCAGTCGCCGCAGCGGTGGTCTCTCTTTTGCCGTCGCAGCTCCGGGCGTTCCTGGTCCCGACGATCAGCGGGATCAAGAAGGTGGTGAAGAAGCGGCAGAACGACCTGGACACCATGGTCCTCTGGCTGACCAACACCTCGCGGCTGACCAATTGCCTCCGGCAATACAGCGGCGAGAAGGTACGCGGGTTTATTGTTATTATTATTATTATTATTATTACGAGGTGGGATCTATGGGGTCTTCGCATCGGTTCCGCCTTTTTGTGTGCAATTTCACAGAAGGGTGTCGGTTACTTAAGATTTATTTATACCGGTAACGTTATCTGTTGTTTATGATGTTTTGTGTCCTGATTTTGCAGAACTTCCAAAGCGAGAACACGCCGAAGCAGAACTCGCAGTGCTTGAGGCACTTTGACCTCAACGAGTACAGGAACATCCTCAACGACGTCTGCGTTTGGGTCTTCATGGTGAGATCGCGTTGGGAGGCGGTGAAAGATGTCGAGGGGGGTGGGGGGGGGGCTGTATTTAGCATTAGGGTTGGGACGCAACTTGATGGCTGTGTTCCGTTCGGGGACGGTGGTATTCGTCGTTTCCGTGTGTGGGTGGGAAAAATTGCGGTAATTTTATCCTGTCGATCGATGTGCGTCTCGAGGTCGTTTTGAAAGGGAGGGGAGGGAGGAAAAACGAAAAAGTTCGTTTCGCCTTGTTGATTTCTTGTCAGTGCTTCGATGATAAATGAAGCGATAATTTTTTTTTTATGGATTTCAGAAAAGTAGGACGCGAGAACGTTCAGGGTGATGTATGTTCTCGAAACGAAATTTCCATCATCTCCTTTGGAGCGTCCTTGTGTTATTTATTTATTTTTTCTCTCTGTGCACGTTCATCGTGACGTCGTCGTGCCTTGCAGGGGATGCTGAAGCTGATCCAGGAGCGGGTGCAGAACATGATCGTGCCGGGGGTGCTGGAGAACGAGGCGATCGCGGGGCTGAGCGGGCCGCCGGTGGGCTCGCGGACGCACGCGTCGTCGGTCGGGGGGGAGGACGAGGTGGCGCTGGACCCGAGGCAGGCGATGGCGCTGCTGCTGAGGGAGCTGGATTTCCTCTACGAGACGTTCGATTCGTATGGGATGGATCCGCAGCTGGTTCCGTGCATCTTCCAGCAGGTGGGGATGGGGCGGGGGGGGGGATGGGTTCGATTGGAGAAGCTGATGCTTGTGTGACGAGGTTGTCGTTAGTTCCCGAGAGGTGGTGTTTTTTGAGGGAGGAATCGTGGATGGAGAAGTTTTTTTTTGGAGAAGTCTTAACCCCTTAGGTTGAGAATTCCTCGGGCAGGGGTCTAATACCAGAGTCGGAACTTTTTTTTCATGAGAGTTATTATTAATGATTGTGCAACGAATTTACTCCTCTTTTTGAGTTTATACGTTCATTTCGAGGTCCGAGTTTATATTTAATTCGAACTCGAAATGTAACGCGACAGAAAAAAATGCGAAACCCACGTAGGGAGCGTTTCACCTCATCGGCTATATACCCTCTTTGTGGGTTAAAAGGACGTGGCAAAATTTATGGAATTTTGGTTCGTATTTGAACATGGTGCTTTCGTCTTGCCGTCGTACGGCCCCGGTTTTTAAAGAGTTCCTTTCTTTTCTGCAGTTGTTCTACTTCATCTGTGCGGTGTCACTGAACAACCTTCTTCTGCGAAAGAATCTCTGTCACTGGTCCAAGGGTCTCCAGATCCGCTACAACCTCTCCAGCTTGGAGGATTGGGGCCGCAGCAGAAAGATGGTCTGCAATGTTCTTACTACTACAGTTCATACTTCTCGATATGACGTTTGTGTTAGGATTAGCCAGTGAACTGATGCATGAATTTTTTTTTCTGTGGAATCTGATTTCGATTTCTGAGGAGAAATTTTTGGATGAGAGTTTTTTTTTTCCGTGTGATTTGACGTCTCGTTTGAATGCATCAGGAAAATGTATGAAGGTTCTAAACATTTATGGGTGTGTAGAATGGAGAAGTTCTGGACAGTCTGAAGCCGGTGATCCAGGCTTCGCAGCTCCTCCAGGCCAAGAAATCCGATGAGAATGTTGCTGCCATCTGTGAGATGTGCAATAAACTCACTCCTGCTCAGGTACCAAGAATTTAAAACCCATCCTGGAAGTTGTTTCCTCCGAGACGCTCCGAAAGGACGAAGCGAACTCTTTTTCGTTTTCGTTTCAGATCAACAAGCTGTTGATGCTGTACACTCCGGCCGACGAGTACGAGGAGAAGGTCGCGCCTTCCTTCATCCGGAAGGTCCAGTCGGAACTGGCCCGGACGCGGGGGGATGCCGTGAGTGTTTTTATGGTGTCTGATGGGGAAATTGGAGTGCGATGGTCAGATTTTGGTTTCTCGTGTGGAATTATTTTTTGGTTTCTCCGAACAGACTTCTGCTTCTCCGGGACCCATGCAGACCACACTGCTGATGGATACCAAGTTCACCTACGCCATTCGCTTCCCGTTCACTCCTTCCAGCATCAGACTGGAGGACATCGAACTTCCGTCGGCTCTCCGTCTCAACTTCTTGAACAAGATCTAACCGCGTTCTTCCCTCGGACGGACCCATCCGAATTCGTTCCGTGCTCGTGCCATAGGTGGCTCGAAGGAGATGTCGATCTGTGTCTAGGCATATCCCTTAATGTTTATCGTTAGTCGACGGTGGTCTCATCCGCTTCGCTTCTTCCAACGAGATCGGGTGCATTCCGACTTTCCCTTGTGATATGGGTGCAACTTTACATTCCTTTGCAGGAGACCAGCCAAATTCCAGATCGTCTCTGGTCAACGAGATCAGGTTTCAAAGATGCTTTACGTGGTGATCGTGAGAATACTTACTGGAAATTGTTCAGTTCCTCATGAGTTGATTATATAGCACTGTTGCATGTTGACTTTTTCCCTTACCAAAGACAGAGATGCCTAATAATAATAATATTACAATATGGTGTTTGTTGAGCTTGGATTAGTATATTTTGGAGTCTTGCAGAGTTGTACCGTGAATGAAATAGTTATACTCCTGTATTTAGTTCGCTACATGAGTTATACTTTTCCGTGCAGTAATGCATGATATAGCCAATCGATGGTTACGAGCGATTTTTCTTCTCTTTTTCTTTTCTGTTTGCACTTTCATAATTTTGTTTATTCTTGCAGGGAAACTAGGAGCCATGATCCTGTGATAAAAACTCTTGTTCATTATTATTTTATTCATAGTTGAATCTATTTATTGTTTGTATGTCTTCACAGAAACCTTTATTTTTTTCAGTTCCTGTCATGTTCCTTTGATTCTCATCGAATCGCCAATAGAGGTTCTTCTCATCTGACCGACGGCTTTTTCTTTGGTCGATTTGATCAGCTGCCGGCATGCATCAAAGTGCATGCAGAAGCTGTCGTGTGGTAGGATCGTTTCTGTGACCGACGGTAAAGAAGCGATTCTTTGAGCGGTCATTCTCAGTTGTATTTAGGCTTGATTTATATACGGTCGTGCAGCAGGTGGATTGAGAAATTTCTCAATTTGACACCTAACACCACACTTGAAGGATCCCAAATCCACAAGGGAGGCCAAGCTTAAGTCGCCATAAGACTATACCTTACAAGTGGTTAGTTCCAGTCCCTGCCAGAGAGGTTCCTTCATGTCACTCATCTCGAGATGGGACAAGGAGTTGCATATGCCTGAGGGCCCAACTCGGTCACACTCGTGTGCCTGATGGTCCGTTGGCCGATTTTGAACCCGTGTCCGACTTCTAAGCTTGCTGCTGACTGAATCATTTATGTTCATATTTTGATGAGTGTTTTGGTTAATTTTTGCGCTTGCATGAGTGAGCTCCATTTCATGCACGAGTTGAATTTGCTTTGAGGGAATTTCTGATTAAATGGGCACTCTCTGAAACTCTGAAGAGTCCCTCGAATAGTTTTATGTTGAAACACCTTTTAACTCTTCTAAAATCAGTCAGTTCTCTTATGCCTTTTAAGATGGCCCACTTTGCTCAGTTTCGTCGGGAGACGGTCAAGCTCATGCAGGAAGGGACTGATCATCATGCTAGACGTATTGTAGAAGTCATTTGGACCTTCCAAATTCGCCAAATGAATGAATCGGTCGCTGATCACCGTATTAAAAAAAAAGGAATAAAACCCTTTGAGGTTTCCCTGGAAGTCGGTACAACGAGTGGCGGAAACTAGAACTCCGATTCACATGTACACAGCCTGCCTCAGAAATCTAGAATCACAGGCGTTAGGGCAATAAGAGTCTAAAAATGTTCCATGGGTAACTAGTCCTCGGACATTATGCGCGATAGCAAACGCCCGCCTCCTCCAATTCGAGATACACGACTGCGGGATCACGTGAATAGAAAAATCCCTCACGATGCCCCAACCCAGTGGCGGCTCTTCATCGAAGACAGAGGAGGCCGGTCTCCCCTGCCTCTAATGACAAACTGCTGCGTATCGCGAGCCGCCACTGCCCTGGCCCAATCCGCTCGGCCACTGGCAGTGAGCCATAGGCCGATCGTTCACCGATTCTCAGACCCGTTATGTATTCGTCCTTGCTAGAACTTTTTCTGGGCTTCCTGAGGCGCGAAGGTCTCATTCCCATCTATAAATTATTCCTGGATGCGTTGTTGCGTGAAACTCCTGTCATGTATGAGTGATATCAAGGTCCGTGGAGATATCCCTTCTCGATTCCCGTGCTATTCCGCATTCCACTTCGCAATTCTTGCGCACTTTAATGCTAGCTAGTGGCCCATGCTCTTTCGAACGAAGAAAAGCTCTCTTCCGAAGGGATGCCCCTCATTCGGAGACCTACGACCGAAGACGTACTAAAAGTACCGGACAATTAACGTGCCCCTGATAAATTCCGATTCTGCACGCTGAGTGCTGCGACGAGCCCTAACAGCACGATTCGAGACTAAAATGACACACTCATTCCACTCGTTTTTCAAGCTTTCACAGATGAGTTTGTCCGAAGCGGCTCCGAGTGGTAGACTTGTGTCTCAGCGAATCTATCGGAATTGAGAATATTCGATGCCGGCAATGTATCAGAACTTACAGTGTTTTTCACTTGAGTTAGACATGTTTTCACTTGACTTCGACAACGGTGCATGGTGAGGGTGATATAGCGGATCGACGCAGAAACAAGGAGTTCCATTCTTAAGTGCAGATGTCGTTATGACAAAAGAAAGATGTCGCTAGTCACCAGGGGCACCTGCGCCCTCGCCTCCTCTCTGAATACTCCTCGCATTGGTGTCTTAGTCAAGTGAAAAATTGTCTAACTGAGGTGAAAAACACTGTAGCACGAAAGGCCCTGTGGAAAAGTAGATGGTCGAATGCGCCCAAAGCGCATTGATTCACTTATCCCACTTTGGCCGAAGCATCCGCACGATCGAATACGCCCATCGCGTTTCCCGCCGTAATAGAAAAATCAGTCGCGTCTCGTGGTTACCTACCGTCCCAGTTCGTGGTAGCTTGTCAGAAACTTGGGAAAATCTGTACTCAAGAACTTCATGTCTTGACCAATATGAAATACCATGACAAGGACGATCTTCGAATCCCTTGAAGCCGGCCTGAGCAGGCCTACTCGGCGATGAACAATTGAAGGTGAGCCCCATATACAAGACTATTCACAATTCAACTGTTCATCTTAACGAAGAGGCACCATCATCAGTGGCCAATGTGACTCTTCTCTCTCTATCGGCTCGTACACAGCCTGGGCCTCAAATCTTGAATACTAGAATAGTAATCCAAAGGAGTGTAGTTCGTTGTCAACCTCTCCCTCCCTATAGGGTTAGGGATGTTCGCCGTGTCAAGCTCATTCTGAATGAATTAGGCCTAACCTTAGACATGTAAGCATTGGCCTACACGTCTAACGGCGGAGGGTACGGGACGGAACTCCCGCATAATGTACGTTGGGATCGAGCCCCCCTTAAAACGATCGAGAGTGCTTGGAACACTTGGAAACTGCCGCATGGTTACAATCCCGATTGTTCTTACGTATTTACTCGTAGGCCGTAGGACCTTCATGAAGTCGCCAAAGTTGCTTCTAGAAGCATTAAGCCGCTGCTGCCTCCATTAAAATATTCTTAGAAGGACTCCCGAGAGCAATCCAGACAAATCGCAATGTACACGATTCTTCCGTGTAAGGTCCGTTAGCGCAGGGCGGTTTTGCGGAATCAGGAATGGAACAGATAGGAGACCGCTAACGAAGGTGGACTGGAACCCACGTCCCCTGGAGAGGGTGGGCGACGATAACGATCCCCTCATTGACACTTCATCAACCTGTCGATTTTTGCATGGGATGGAGATCGTTGACGTAACGAACGTTGGTTGGAAGTAACGGAGGGTTGACAAAACTAACGAATCACCTCCCTCGTTAGTCGTGTAGGCCAATCCCCCCATTTAACGTTTGGCCTAATTCATCCGGGAGGAGGTTGACACTGCGAACATAAGAAACACCAGGGAGGGTGACATAATGAACTATGCCCATGCGAAGAGTTCTGCTCTTTGGTCATGTGTAATCTTGCGAACCGGCATCGCGTATTATAATGCTTTACGGTAGACTCGCGGTACGAATATGAACCACGTTTGGAATGTCTCTTTTGCAAGTGAATTAAGCGAAAGAGAATTAAAAACATCAATTTTTAAATTAACCTTTCAAAGAAATTGTTGAAGGGTCGCCTGTATTTTCAACACACTCGCCACTCTGTATACGAAGCCGAAATAACCTATGCGCAAATTAAGAAACCATGAGTCAATAAATATGCCATGCAATTAAGACCATCCAATGAGTCGACGGGAATGACGTAATGCTCTAGGGCAGCGGATCACGGACACGTCGTCTGCATGGTTCATAGACGCCTCAATCTAATAGAACATGGCTTGAATGCCCTTGGAAAAGGCGTAGCCAGGCGAAATGAGCAACTACACACCATTGCCATGGTGTGTGATAGCACCTCGCCACTGCCATGGAGGAAACGGCTAGAATCCTGCAAGAACTCCTACAAACATTGTTCAAGAGTATACCACCTGGCTGTGGACCTTCTTTGCTGCTCGTGGTGACCCAGTGGTCACACTTTCCATGCCCAGGCGATTGTTGGACGAGTAAAGGGTGGATAAAGGTGATACGTACCTATAATTATTGTACACTCGGTAAAACATCTTGTATGAAGTATGGAAAAATAAATCATAAGGCTATCTTAATTCCCGCGCTAGTTCTATCATACCATGCATGGTGTCTTAACATGGTTAACGATTATTTTAACCGAGGGAATGCCAGAAAATTGGAGAATTGAACCCTTTAGTTTTTTTAAAGCAGTGTATTATTACTACTATTATTATTTTAAAAAAGGCACCTTTAGCTCTCTTCTATTCTCTATCTTGAGCAAAGCCTGAGCAAAGCCCCCTGCAGGTTGCAGAAGGTGGTCCCACCCACTTCAGACGGTGTATGAGATGACACAGTCAGATATGTCTCATTATAATAAGGGCTGCGTTTCTTCCTCGACAAACCATTACGTCTTGTCCATCTGGGTTAATCCTTGAGGAATTGACGAGTAAGCAAAGCTAAAACTAAACCGTGAATTCCTAGAAGTGACTTTTATTTTAAATACTTTTGTCATTGGAACAATATGAAAGCAAAAAATTTGCAAGACCCACTCTCTCATGCACGCAAGCTCGAGCACAGCCGCCCCCCTCCGAGTCTGGCCGGTTGAGCCATCTCTGTGAGGGATGGCTCAACCGGGTCCACCGGTTAAGCTACCCCTCGCAGAGTAAGACCTGCTTTCTGCCAGCCCACACCCTCGGTCAGAGACTCCCATGAAAGCAGGCTTTCTTTTTCTTTTATTTATTTACTTCATTCTTTTGTTCGTCCGTCATGTTCTCCGAGTCGGGGGGGAAAGGATCCGATTCCTCATCTCGACCTGAAAAAAATGTCCTGTGGTTGTGCCAGGGCTACCGGTTTAACCTCCTTCTAATCGTGTGGTCCTAGAGGAATGACCCGAATCAAGTACAGGGCTCATTGCTCATTATAATTGGGCAATCATATCCCCTCTGACCCCAAGGACAGCTTCGTAAGCATGTGTCCATGGACTTAATCGATTATACTCGACCCTTACGGTCCGTGATTATCGTTAGTCTCTCCGCGGTTTTTTTTGTGCAAAATTCTCTAGGTGGACGTCGGT